GGCTGCTGAGGTGGCATAAGAGCCAAACACCAAAGCTGGCCCTGCCCTGAGAGCCAGAGGAGGGTCCGGGCTCCAGGCCTCCCTCAGAGCGCTGTCCTTCCACCCGCGTGCTCTCTTTTTTTCTTTTTTTTTTCACCCGTGTGCTCTCACCTGTGACCACAAAAGCCTCGAATGTCCAGGGTGGCCTCAGCCTGGCCTCCTCCCTCAGCATCTGACTGGCGTCCAGGAAGACTGTGCAGGGCCTGCTCTACCTCTGGGACCAGGCCCTGGAGGCCACCTCATTGGCTGGTTCCTGGGCTTTTGTTAATCATCAATCTCAGTATCAAGGAGCTGGGTCATGTCAGGGCAGGGAGCCTGATCTCAGTCACCTCTTGCCAGGGTCCAGCCCCAGGGGTCATGGGGTCCCCAAAGGTGTGGACAGCATCGGCGAAGAATGAACGACACAGAGACAGCGTTCAGAGCATGAGGACAATCAGCTTCTCTCTTTATTGCCTTGTTACAACTCTCTTTATACTACTTGATTTTATTGCTGGTTAAACAACGTAACATCATGGGTTGCTCTGGTTTCTGTCTTAACCCTTCACAGTTAATGTTTATACCTTCTATCTGACCTTTGCTAAAGAATTTATCTCTGTTCAGCTATGTGGATTTTAGTCTCATCTATTATTTATATTTCTATACGCTAGCCTACAGGTTAATCTCTAGTTTGTTATTTCTATTCTAAAGTTACTAATTTATTGCTCTACCATATAGCTAAAAGGGAAATAACTACCGCCTGGCGCCTACTCGGAGTCTCTCCCTGACACTCCCGGAAGCAGCCCGTCGATGAGGGAACTGCCTGCCTGATTTACACCCGCATTTTCGAAGTTGTCCGTGCAAAGCCTTTTTCACCTTCTCATCTAACAGGCACCAAGCATCTAAAGGCTTCTTAGCCTTTCTAAGAAGCTCGGGATGTTTTGTATGTTTGCCTTTGTAATTATGCAGTGTCCGTCCTCGTTGTAATATCCCGTGTATGACAAGGGTTCAGGTGTAGGTGGAAATAATCTCCTTGTGGGGATTCCCAGAGTTTTCCATTACTATAAACATCCCCAGTAATACATTCCTTGTGGGAACTCACTGGTGGCCTCCCTGTAGATGGCCCTGCCCCTCCGAGCCAGCAGGGGCCCCAACGCAGGCCTCTTCCCTGGTGGGAAGGCCCCCGGGGCAGTGGGCCTAACAAGTCCTAACTCTTCTGCTGACAGTCTGAGTCTGAATTCCTTAAGCGACACATGATATTTTTGCAATGCTTGGGGCTTTTACTGAATCATTGTCTTTTCCAGTCCCATATGAGTCCCCTGCTAGGAAAAAGTTTCCAGCTAGGGCAATGCCCTTTTCTGGTGCAGTGACTCGGGTAAGGACACAGAGCGTTAGAAAGGGGAACAAGCATAGGAAGAGGGATCTGCCATATACACCAAGTCCCATGGAGCACTGGCTGTGCAGATGTCTCCTCCTTGAAGGACTGTGTCAAGCAGCAAGGATGGGACGGCTTCCGGCCACCTCTGTGATGCCAGGAATTAGGGCATGAAGAGGGGGTTAGCAGGCTCTGGAACAACCGAAAAAGAAGGCACAGGGCTTATGAGAGTCCTTGTAGCTTTGAGTGTGTGTTGGGGGTAGTGGATGGGGGATTAAAGACCCTTCCCCTGAGGTGATTCAGCTCAAAATTGGGGAGATATGGAACAACAGTGATCACCTGGGCAACAGAACCCACTTCCCACCTCATTCCAGAGCCTGGGGGAGAAACCCAGCTTTTTGCTTTAATATGCAATCCTTGATTTAGGACCCAAACTGATAGCGGCACTTATAATTTCCAAAGATTGAGCACCTGAATAAATCTGAAATATAATTATATTACTTATAAAATTGTAGAACACATATACTTATGTGAGCAGGGGTTTAAGTTTCTTTTTTCCTTAAGTTTCTTTCTCCTAGGCCTTTGGGCCTATACACTCCCCTTGATCCCAGACAAAGCAATTAAGGAGGTGATGCAGCTCTGAACAATGAGTTAAGATATCACCTTATCGAGACATCGCCAGATGACCAAGAACAAAAGTGACGCCTGCGAACTTCCAGGATGGCACGTAGCTGCATCCCATCCCCAGCCTCAGTTTGCCCCATTTCCCTATGTAACCCGATCTCTCAGGCCACTTCTTAAGACAGGTTCTGGATGCTCGTATGCGCCCTGTCTTCTTGGTTGGCCGCCTTCTCAATAAACACCTTGTATGATTCAACCCTGCCTCCCCTGAATTGGACACAGCCACAGGCAGCCCGAACCCCACCGGGGTTTCCTGGTAACAAAACCATGTGGTCTACCAAACTGCATCCCTTCCCTCCCAGCACCGAAGGCTCTAACTACAGGTGCTTTTGCTGGTGGAGCACTGGGCTCTGGAGCCACCAGTTTAGTGTAAAGGACACTGTTCCTGACTTGGCTGAAAAGGACTTTCTCTGAAAGTCTCGGGGAGCTTATGTTCACTTCTTTCCCAGGAAATAGCGTTGCTTTGTTTGTTTGTTTCTTCCTGTTAGAACGAGCTGAAAACACTGTAGTTACAGAAACCTGTAAAACCGCTCTTCATGACATGCAAACTAATGAGCATGAGATTTCTGCTTCACTAGTAGGCCAGCATCTCAAAATGTCAAAAATGCTTAAAAGTTAAGAGGCATTGCAGAGATCGCCACGCTTGTACTCAGCTACTGGGAGTGCAAAATGGCACCTTTCTGGTGTTAAAAGCCATTAAGGAACACATGTCTCTTCCCCAGTAATTCCACTTCAGGGAAGCTGTCCTAAAGAAAGAGAAACGTGCACCAACACTCGCAAAAGGGAGGCGAAAATTTGAAAGCAACACAAATGTGTAATAATGGAATCACGTGTGTATGTTACACATGGATAAAACGAACGTGTTTGTGAGGGCCTGGGAGAGGCGGTGCGATGAAGTCATTGGGAGCACAGCATCTGGGGTCTCGCAGATCTGCAATTTAATCCTGACCACAGGGTTAAATTGAGCTTTGGGGGAAGGGTCAACTCTCTTAGCTTCAGGGGACACATGAGTTTATAATGGAGGGGTCTGGGGTACCTCCTGAACCAAGGGATCAAACTTCGTATCACCGATGTGGGGGCTGACTGACATGTACCCTTTGATGACATGCAGCAGGAAGGTCACAAAATCAATCTATTATCCCCAAAAATATTTGAACTGACTCAATCATGAACAACTCCTGACTGTGGAATTTTGAAAGACATCTAGAGTACTCTTAAAAAAACCTCACCCCCTTTATTTTTTTAACGAATTGTTCTAGATTAAAGGAGACTAAGAGCCAGGACAAACACAAAGTAGGGTGAGTGCAACAAGGACTGCAAGTACTTTCAAATAATATTTGCAATTGTTTTGTACACTTGACATTTTTTGAAGTAGACTTGAGAGACCAAGTCTGGTTCCTCGCTGGTAAAATCTCTCAGGATTGTAATGAGGACTTAACGAGGTAGCACTTATGAAGTGCTTAGCACAGTGCAGGCAGGAAATGTGCTTCTGTCCCTTCCTTTTTATGATCGTGGGGAAAATCACTAGTTCGTTCCCTAAGTATTCCTACCTCTCCACTTTCTAACACATGGCACGATCACATTTCTCCACCCCTTTTGAAGTTGGCATGGCCATGACTGGCTTTGGACAGTGGAACATGAGATAAGTGGTATGTGGAAGCTTTGAGAGCCGCCTTGTAAGTCAGTGTTCCTTTTAGCGGCGGTGATCCACGGAGCACAAACGATGAAGCCTTCAGCAGGCTGGGTTCCTAAGTCACTGCAAGTCTTCCTACTGACTCACACTGGCTGTGTTGAGTGAGCAAGAAACCTTTGCCAATGAGCTTCAGGGACCGGAATTGCAGCCTAATCTAATCCAGAACACCACAAACGACAGCCCTCAGTCACCCTGCCCATCTCTTATTTCTGTACATAAAGTTTTACTGGAAAACAGCCATGCTCATTGCTTATGTACTGTCTGTGGATGCTCCTGCACAACAGCAAGAGGTGAATAGATGCAACAGAGACCACAGGCCGTAAATATTTACTGTCTGGCCCTTCACAGAAAGGTCTGCTGACCCCTGACCTAGTCTACCTTGACTGACACAATCAAAATATAAAGTGAGAAAAAAAATCCCAAACCATTTATAAACCATGATTTTACACAAGCGGTAAGACCTTGGGCAAGTTACCATGATCTTTTAGTGGCCATGTGTAAAATGGGGGTAATAACAGCATCTATCCCATAAAGTGCTACGAGAATGAACTAAATTCTCATGTGTAAAACAGAACCAGGAGGTTTTGGAAGGGTGGTGCTGGAGTATCCAGGGTAAGGGCAGGGATAAGAGCTAGTGCATAATATATGCATAACCCATAGACACAGTCAATAAACGGGGTGAAGGCCTGGGGAGGGGGTGGGAGCGAAGTGGAGGGGGTCAACTAGGGGGGAAAATGGGACACCTGTAATACTCTCAACAATAAAGATTTTAAAAAAAAGCTAGTGCATGTAAAATCACTAAGGCAAAAACCTAGTACTCTGTAGACATCCAGGAAATGTTTGTAATTACTATTCCAATTATATAAAAAAATATATATTTGAATGGAAATAGGAGATTGGAAGAAAATAACAAATAATACTAATAGTGATTATCTTTTAAAATATTAACAGGTAGGATTAGAAGGTTCCCTCCCTTTGTTATACCATTGTGTTTTTCTATAATGAACATATATAAATTTTATAATCAAAAAAGGAAAACCAATTTTTTTTATAAATGTTGAAAATGTTTACTATTTCTATCATTTCACAAAACATCTTTTTTAAATGTATATATATATTTTAAATATACATTTTATTGATTTCAGAGAGAAATGTCAATGATGAGACAGAGTCATGGATCGGCTGCCTCCTGCACACCCCCTTGCTGGAGACTGAGCCTGTAACCCGGGCATGTGCCCTGACTGGGAACTGAACCTCCATCTCCTGGATCGTAGGTCGATGCTCAACTGCTGAGCCATGCTGGCTGGGCTCACAAAACATCTTTTGTTGACATTCTACAAATGACAGCATCCAATAATGTCCCAATACTTTCTTCTTGTGAAGATAGTTTATATATCTATAAAAATAAAAGACAAATTATAACATACTAATATAACTCCGCACTACTAACTTTTATAATATAAATATGAGTAAGTAAAATCATTTATCATTCAATTATTGGGATAATGGTATGAAATTACAAAAACGCGATTAAAATATGCAAAGTAGACAGCAATTCATCATTTATGTCAAAAGTGCCTTTTAAATTGCACTAAACATAGAAACCAAATTTGTACCAGTTTTAAAAGAATACATCTAGGTACTAGCTTCACACTAAATTTATTTATTTTATATTACAAATATACTATGTAAGCTTACCATTTAAAGTTATCTATTTTTTCTTAATTAGAGAATGCTTTTATCAACTAAGTTTATAATTATATTTTACATAAACCTGCATCTTCCAATTCTTTGCATCTAGAATTATTTTTCAAGTAATTTTTAATTATATTAACCTTTCTTAAAAGTTCAAAAAAATGCCCCGGCCAAGTGGCTCAGTTGGTTGGAGCGTTGTCCCATGCACCAAAAAGGTTGCGGGTTCGATCCCTGGTTAGGGGTGCATTCAGGGGGCAACTGATCAATGTTTCTGACATTGATGTTTCTCTCTCTCTCCCCCCTTACTAAAAAAAAGAAAAAAATTAAAAAATAAATAAATCAATAAATATATCCTCGGGTGAGGACTAGAAAGAAAACAGGTTCAGAAACACAGCAGCACAGGTGAGCAACGGCAAACAGCCCTGGTACCACTCCTCACCTCTCGCATTCTACAAATGTGTACTTACGAACCTTTTTGACTTCTGTAATATGTGTTATTTCAGGAAGGTTTTTCAGAGAAACTTGATGACCTTCTACCTGAGATATTAGGTCTTCTTGATCTATTTGTTTTTCTCCATCTTCAATGTAAACAATTAGAATTGAAGTGTCATTTGCTGAAATACCGAATTTTTTCAAAGCCTCTGAAATCTGAGGGGGGAAAAAGGAAAATAAAACTGGTTTCTAGATCTGAAGCATCTCCCCACCTGCTTTCTTCCCTGCTCAGGTCACTTTCATATTCTGAGGGTTCTCTCTGACTAGTTTTTATCTTCAGTAACCCCTTCCCTACCAGTTCTGCCTCTACCGTACTCTCTGCTCAAAGGTGCGCCTCATCCAGTGGAATCAAGGTCAGACTTCTTGGCGGGGCACACAAACCAACCTTCTTCCGGCCGCAGTGACGCTCAGCCATGCATCCTGCCTCCAGCCAGGCTGGACCGTTTGGAAATCCTATCATTTCATACTTCTTTGCCTGTGTTCACACTTTGTTCTCTGCCTGGAGTGCCCACATCCTTCAAAGTGCTATCAAATGTCACTCCCCACTGCACCTCCTCCATACAGAATAAACTGTTCTTTGCTGTTCCCCCAGATGTGAATCATTATTCCCATTGTGTCATTTATCTTAGGGCATTTGAACTTCTGTCTTGTTCATCTGCCTTCCTCAGGAACATATTTGTTTCTTTTGTTCCTAGAACTGTCATTGGAATAGAGACAAACTCAACAGATGTTTATTGAATAGTTTCTTGATTTCAAATGATCTCAAAGAAACAATAATTATCTGGTAATTTTTCCCTCCAGGCACTGGGGAATTCTATTACCATACATTTTATAAATATCTCAAACATCTGCATTTTAAACCATACCACAGGTTTCCTAAATTTTCTTTTGATGGTATTAGTACTGGTTGTGTTATTAATAGTAGTAGTAATACTAAAACCTCATCAGCAAAATTTCAGTATTTTTTGTTATGTGCCACATGTGGCATGTCTTTAGCTCAATAACTTTGGCTAATATCAGTTTCTCAAACCACAAACTCTTCCTATGCACTGAGTGTGGGAATAAGCTTGTGTTAAGGGCTGTTCTAAGTACCTACAGGCTTCTGGTATATGGAAAAGACATGGGTTCTATCCTCAAGGGGTTTACAGGGAGAATAAAAGATGTGTACAATGACACACAAACATCCACGCCTACTGTTTTATCACTTAGATTTAGATATCGCTTAGAGGGATCTTCCTGACCCTATATAGATAAAGCTACTGTCACTTAATTTAGCAAAACTTTCATTTCCTTAGAAGTGAAGTGAGTTCAAAGCTTATTTTTCTAGTAAGAGGCAGTGCTAAACCTCAACTCTCTGTCCATACCTCTCTTCACTATTATTTTGGTTTGTTACTAACAACAGACTTACAGAAATCTAGCCTCTAACTCAACAGTGGGGAACACACACATGTTATCATGACAAGGTCAACAGAAGTAAAATAAGTAAAAGCCATATTAATTACATTGTTATTTGGGGACAGGTTGAAAATAATTTCAGTAGACAGAGTTCTTGTCTTCATTTTTCCCAGTCTGTAGAGGTGAACTGCTTTATTTGCTGCCACAAGTATCTGAAATGGATCGACGATCTACCAAAGAGAACAAAAAGAATTACACACAGAGTCTGGAGTACTCTGAAGATGCAGGTCCTATCCCATGGTAAGTCCAAGGTCAGGTTGTTTTACTTCATTACAGTTCTTACGGACTATATTTTCAAAATTGCTATCTCAAGGACCTGGGTGTTCAGAATTATCATAGAATCTTAAAGCTGCAAAAAACTTAAATAGTAAAAAATTTAAAAACAACATTTGTCAAGGGCTAATATCATGGGAAAGGTCATATTCTAAACATTTTATACTTGTATTATTTTGTCTAATTCTTAAAACTGCCCTAAGAATCAGTATTCTTATTCACGGGCCAGAAAGGAGGAAATGAAGGCAGCAAATTTCTGGGTTTGAATGCCAGCTCTGTCACTTACCAAGGAGGGAACTCAGGCAAATTCCTTAGTGTTTTATCTGTTAGATGTAGGTAATCATAGTACTTACTTCATAGAGTTGCTGTGAAGTTAGTACATGGAAAGCACTTAGAACAATGCCAGGAACAGAGTAAACACTATATAAAGGTTGGCTACCATTTGTGCAAAGTCCTAATAATTGGCAGAGTTGGGATTAAGTCCTGGCAACAGGATTCCACAGTATGTGCTCGTCAGCACTATGCAATGCCTCCTTTGCAGAGATTTTTCTAGTTCAGATGAGAAATGGAGATCCAGAAATCTGCCATTAGGAAGCCAGAGCACACCTTTCCTATCTCGTAGTACAGGGCCTGAAACTTCAGCTTTTACTCACTGTTAAATTCAAGGTTGTCCAAATCTGACTCCATTCCACACCTTGGACAAGAACTTTGAAGACAATTTTAGGCTAACCTATAACATCATGAAAAGTTAATGTATTCTTAAATGCCCCGTATATCTCACGCATTCTCATTTGTACTCACCACTGTAGGGTTTATTAATGAACCATCAATGGTACCTTCCATGGCCTTTTTTCTCAAGTCTCCAGCATTTTTTACATCTTTAAATAACAGAAGGGTCACCGTGCATTCGGGAAATAGGTCCAGCTGATGTGTTGACTGCATTTCATAGATAAGCAGGATTCTATTGCATAAAACCAAAAAGACCAAAAAACTTCTGTTTAAAGGTTAACATTATAATTCATAACAAACATCTTCGCTAACAAATAAATTAAAATAGCTTTAATAAGATAAAACTGTTAAACTAGAAAAATCCATCCCAAAAGCACATTTGGCATCCTCGTAAGATGTTATCTCCCTAACTCTGCTGAGCTTTTTGTAGCTTCCTTTACTTGAGAAAAGATCTAGGTTCCTGCCCAATCCCCTGGTTGTGGAAATGAGGCAAGCTCAGATGCATGGCTGAGGGGCAGCTTCCCCAACAGACAACTAGGAACAGAATATACGGAATTCTTTAGACCACAGGTTACTTATAGTATTAACAAAACTTCACTTCTGCTCAGTTTTTTAACTTTCTGATCTCACCATTTTATCTGTATTTTAGCAGAACCTAGACACACATAATAAGGAAGAAATAATTTTAGAAAAAAAGTATGACACAATTCAAAGAGAGTCATTTCACACATGGAATTTAATCATTTATTAAATAAATGTGCCCTCTGATTAAACAAAGGCATATGTTTCTTAGGCATAGTTTAACAAGGATAAAGGACAAAGTATATATAAAGACATAAAAAACACATAAGAGACAACTTGAATAACTAGAGAGACATAACTATAACCTTAGACGGAAAAACAAAGCATTGCAAAAATTTGATCTTTAAAACAATTTCAATCAAAGTGTTAATGAAATATTTGGGTGAGGCAATTTGATAGGTTCACTTCATCTTTCTATCTGGTAGGTTCCATTTCTAGAACTCTTTCTCAAGGAATAAATTAGAAATCTGAGAATTTATGTAATAAGGTGTCCCTCTCATTCGAACAGTAAAAAGTTGAAAACCTATTAGCTAGTAAGAGAGGACTGGTTGTGACTAAAAAAATCATTAAAAACTGTAGTCTTGAAGAGTAGTTAAAGATGTGTGAAAATAACAATAAATAACATTAAATAAAAATATCTGATTGGAAAACAAAACATAAAATTTAGTGTATAAATCGAGGGGATTTTTAAAAGGTACACAGACACACAGGAACAAACAAAAAAAATTTAAAGGAAAATACACCAAAAAGTTATCTCTGACTTGATGGAATTATAGCTGACTTTTTCTGTTACAATCAGAAAAAAAAAATCTGTAAATAATGTTCTCACACATACCAGTTCAATGTTTATTGTCATGATAATGTTCAATGGAGAAAAAGTAGATACAGAAAGATATAACAAATATATTCCCAATTATAAAAAAAGGTGCGGGCAGCAAACAAAAACATGAAGGAAGCACACTAAAATATGGCCATCTTGGTAGTCAGATCATAGGTAATTTTTTACTGTCCTGTATAAAAAATTTTTGTGTATGTCCTCAGTTTTCTACAGAGTACACAAAACATACTGAGTACTTATAATCATGGAGGAAAAAACCTTTTTTGTGGTTTTAGTTTTTAAACTAGGGAAAAGGAACCCCTAGCACACATCAAAATAGTTTTGTTTTATATAATTCACTCACTTAGGCCAGAAACTTAGAATCATATCACTTAAATCTCATGTCTAATGCATAAAGTCTTGGCAATTTTACCTCTTTTTAAAAAATCCTCACCCAAGGATGTTTATTGAGTTTTAGACAAGAGGGGAAGGGAGAGAGGGAGAGAGGGAGAGAGGGAGAGAGGGAGAGAGG